AATCTAGTGATTATTCTGCCTCCACCTGGGAGCAGCTGGGATTACAGGCTTCTGTCACCACCTGCAGCATTATTCTGGGTTTTTTTTTTGGTTGTTGTTGTTGTTAATGAAACTTAAAACTCATGACCCATCAACAGGCATTAGCTTACTTGCTTACTTCTTTTGGTGGTACTGGGGTTTGAACTCAGGGCTTCATGCTTGCAAAGCAGAGTCTCTACTGCTTAAACCATACCTCCAATCTATTTTGCTCTGGTTATTTTGGAGATGGGGTCTCTTGAACTATTTGGTTGGCTGGACTTGAACTATGATCCTCCTGATTTCAGTCTCCCAAGTAGCTAGGATTACAGGTATGAGCCATTGGTGCTTGGCTGACTTGCTTACTGTTAAGGGTGTGTTAGGCTGAGGGTAGGGGGCAGGGAGTTGGAGATGGGACTGTGCTCCAGTGAACACCAAGGATGGGCCGGTACTCTGCTCTCAGGGGGCCTCATCCCAGCCTTATGACACCAATGTGGAGTGCTTGGTGGTCCCACTGTATAGATGTAGAAATAAGGGCTAGGCAAGTCTCTATACAGTGATGAGTAATCAAGAAAATACTCAGTGCCACAGCATGTACATTCTAAATCAGTTGTCAAAGGAGAAAATTACAATTTAGTTTAACAATAGCAGTTGGCTCCCTCTCATCTCCTCTCTAGAACTGAGTAACATTTCATTCCATAAAATAGATCACCTGTTCCCATGGGCTGAGCAGAAGGTGTTGGTTTTGTAGGCAGAGAAGGGCTACAGAAAGCAGAAACAAAAACAAAAATTGGGTTGGTCATTTCAGAATTATTTTCCTTGTAAGGTGGGAGCAGGGAGATAGAACAGTAGAGAAATAACTAATGGTTCACAACAGGTTCCTTCAGGTTACCTTTTTTTTTGTGTGTTTGCAAAGATCAAGGCAAGTAGGTATGGTATACACCTACAATCCCAGCACTCAGGAGGCTGAGGCAGGAAAATTGGGAGTTTGAGGCCAGCCTGCACTACATAGTAAGATCCTGTCTCAAAAAAAGAAAGGAAGGAAGGAAGGAAGGAGGGAGGGAGGGAGGGAGAAAGAGAGGGAGACAAGAAGGAAGGAAAAAAGAAAAAATGACACAGAGGCAGAGGAAACTTCTCCATGTTCTTTGAAGCTAGCCTGTTTGGGAGATTTGACTGTTCTCTCTCTAATCCTGATTTCTCTGAAGGTCAAACAGCTTAGTTTCAGCTTGGTGACATGAACTTTAATGTGAGTGACTCTGTTTTGATTTTTGGTCTGGTCTATGTAAGAACGCAGACCAAAGCAATAACCTCCTGTGATCTTAATACAGTAAATGAACAAATCCATACTGGGACAGTTGTTCAAGATTTTTACAGCTGCTAGGGGGAGAATTGTGATATAAACTCTACCCCAGTTCCCATGATAAAGGAGCCTTAGGGTCCCTGTCCTCAGAGCCCTTGTGATCCAGAATGGGGACAACTGAGCAGAATAAAGAAGTGTTACATGATGTAGGCTAACTGGGAGGACAGATCGTTGTGTGCTGGGAGATTTGGACGGCTTGAAATAGAAGGTGGGGTTTGAGATACGCCTTAAATTGTGCTGGGCCCTGGCCCAACTCTTCTTGGAAATGGAATTTTCTTGTCCCACTGCCTAGTTCCTTAGATTGAGATGTGTGTGTGTGTGTGTGTGTGTGTGTGTCGTGTTGTTGTTGTTGCTGTTTTCAATGGGGAAATGTAAGAATTTCCTCCCTCCCTTCCTTTCTCCCTTCTGTTCTTCCTTCTTTCCCTTCTCTCCCTGCCTCCTTCCTCTCTCTTCTTTCCTTCTTTTCCTCCCGGGAATTGAGACAGTAGCAGGAACCATAAATATGTGAAATATGTGCTAAGATCCAGCATGTACGTGGTACTTTAGGCCCACTGTTTCTCCCCTGCCCCCCACGCAATGCTCCGCACTGTAGTGGCTGTGAGCAGAGGGGTTTATTCTGATTGTGTTTCCCTTGGGAAACACTCAAAGAGCCTAATTCTTAGTCACACCAGAGTCAGGGGTCATTACACTACCCTACAGATTAGGAAGCTGACACTTCAAGGACATGGTCCATGGTTAGTGGGTGGCTGGCCAGGTGCCATACTTAACTGAGGGTTTTCAGGTGTGACTCCAGGCAGCCAGTCAGTGAGGCTTGGCCTGGTGTCTCACAGGGCTGGCAAGTGTGTTTATCTGCTCTATTCCCAAAAGGAAAAAGAATCTGGAATTCACATATAAAGTAGATTTATATAGACCCATGTCACCATGTAGCCCTGGGCAGCACTAGGATCATCTAGCATATGATCACTTAGGGGTTAGGGTGGCCCACCTAGGGCCAGGCCACCCCTGTGCTAACAAGCTCTTGGGGGGATTCTAACCCCACTCAAGGGTGAAAAGCACCAATTCTAGCCAGAAAAGAGACCTATTGTGAGGGACAGTCACAAAGATAAGAAGAGGTCTATTTCCTTCCCTGGGCATGGGGGACAACCTGACTATTGTGGGAGCAGGCAATGTGGTGAGATGAACACAGGCAAGGTGTCAAATGCAGTCTTTGCCCTTCCCAATGCTTCCTGGCTGGGGGCTGAAGCAGGTCACTGGGATCACTCTGAGGCTGTTTCCTATCTGCAGCTGGCCAGGCCATGCTCAAGATGCCCAAGGATCAGAGTGTGTCAGAGCAGAGCTTCCCAGATAACAATGTGGGCACACATCTCCTGGGGGCTTCTTAGCAGTCTGGGTGGAGGAAGAACTTGCACTTGTCACCAGTTCTCATGTGGTGGCTGCAGCAGCCCAGGGCTAATGGAAACCCACATCCAATGTGGGCAGTGCCCTCATCTGCTGGGCTGCCTTCTCAGTCTGCCTCACGCAGTCTGATTTTGGCTTTTCTCTGGGCCTTTCAGCAACATCGATCCTCAGGTCAGCCTTACCTTCAGAGCCAGGCAATAGAGGACAGGACTCCATGCCAGGGTGACCTTTTTGCTGATTGCTCAGAAACTAGAATTCCATGGTTTTAGTGTGAAACCTCTTGATTTTTGGACCAGATACACACACACACACACACACACACACACACACACACACACACACAGCACATTTGTAAGCTAGACTCAGCCTGTGGGCATAGTCATAGTTGGCTAATATGTGCCAAACTAGTTCACTATTTTTTCCCTTAACAGCCTTTTTCTTCCATCTACTTCAGGGTTCACATGCTCTGCCTACTTGAATTGCCTTGCTGTCTTGACTATTTTAAGGCTTACCTGTCTGTAAGATCCTGCCCCTTCACAGCTTCTCTTCCTTCCTCCTGCAAGCTGGGCTCACCTTTCTCCCACCTGTTGCACAGAGCAGTTCTTTGCTGCCCAATTGGACTATTACAAGGTGACATTGGAGGACAGGGTAGCAGGATGAAGTCTGGAGCTAATCTGCTTGCTTCAAATCCAGCTCTGGTACTGTGTGACCTTGAGCAGGCTACTTAAGCTCTCTGTGCCCCTGTTTCCCATTGGTAATGATACTGGTAGTCCCTCCTTCTGGGACATGGGGGTACTGTCTATGTGGAAGCTCTTGCTGTTACTGTTTCAATTCCGGGCTGCTCTTAGCTTCTGTGGGTTTGCCTGGTCTGGGTAAATTCAGCTCCTTTGTTCTGTTTAGGCCACAGTCCACCATGGGGTTTTGGCTACTTTCAAATGTTTCTTGGGTTTATATCTGTTACTTGTCTGCATGGCTGGTGTTGAGTGTATCTGTCCCTGTATTTCCTTCTGCACTCAGCATGGTGCCTGGATCAGAATTGGTGCTCTGGAGGCTGGTTGAATTGAACCATCTCAGGTTTTATATGCTTTTCTCCTATCCTTGCTCCTAAAAGACCCCTGTACAGAGAAACATTTGTGGAAAGTGGGGAGGCTTCCAAGGGGTGGAATGGAAATTCTGGGGTTTTTAATATCCTAAACCATTTTGTGCTGAAACAGAGACACCCTGCAGCCTGTTGGACGTCAGCTGGGGTCTCAGTGCTTGAGACTACTGGACACTCCAGGGTTTTGGCTGAGTAACACCAGAACCAGTGGGGTAGGGAGTGCTTCACAGAGGATTAGTGGTTTTCTCTGCTCAGTGAAAATGAGTGTATGCCAATTAGTATTAGTAATGTTTTCTCTTCATCTGAATTTGTTAAAATTGTTGAGGTATATTTTACAAATGGGACTCTGAGTTGACCTTGAGAGTTCAGCCTGTGCCCTACAAAGCTATTTAGAGTACTGATTTCCTTCAAATACCTGGGGCCATTGGTGGGAAAGTGAGTAATGAGGAGGCACCTTTGAGGGCTGGTTGGAAAGGGCTGAATTAAACTCACCTTTGAAATTAAATGATTAGTGAACAGGATGTCAGCAAACGAACTGATTGTACTAATCTTCAGTTTTTTGTAAACCAGCACACTGACCTTCTGTTTTGTGGGCAAGTCATGTGATTTGAGATTGTGTAATAGAGGGGGAGGGTCAGAGCTTTCTGGAAAATCAGCATGGCATTTCCCTACCCTTCAGTCCCTTCTTGCAGCAGAGGCAGATTTATAGAGTGCTGGTTAGGTAACTGGGAATGGGTTTAGATCCTCATCCTTTAGATCCACCCCACGGGGACCAGATCAACACTGGAGACAAGAGAGATTACATGAGGACACTGACAACGAGGGAGTCCTCTTGCATTAAAAGCCATCTAGGGAATCCAGCCCAGAGCCTATAGGTAGGGAGTCCAGGGATGGTAAGGCCAAAATGCAACCAGGGTTGGTACCACTGGTGTGACATGGCTGCTTTGTGGGAAGTCTTGCACCTTGGAGATCATGCTTGTGTGGTCGCCATCTTTGTTTTTGCAGCTCTGACAGTTACCTCGTTACAGGGAGGTAGAATCTCACCTTGGATTAGGGCAGGGTTCACCCCCCCCCTTTCTCACTCTAAAGGCATCAAGATTAATGTGTGCAAAACCTGTTTTTGTACAGTCAACTGCTTGGATCAGCATGTTCAGAAGTCCCCCGAGAGTGTTGCTTTGATCTGGGAGCGTGATGAGCCTGGAACTGAAGTGAGAATCACCTACAGGTATTGCGTGTCCCTGGTGGATCTCAGCATCCAGCAGTGTAACCTTGGTCTTCCTGCAGCTTTGGGGTAGATGAATGACTGCTGGCATTAACACTCTGCCAAGGCCATTAATAGTTGAAGGACTCCTCAGCTTAGAAGGGGGCTGACCTTTCTGATCACTTTGGCAATCTTGAATGCCTTTAGATTTTCATAGTTATTGAACCTTTTGAAACAAACGCATGGATATTCAAGATGTAGGAGGGCATCTGGCCCAGTCCTGCTGCTGTATCTGGCTCTGGGGGAGAGGAACATGTTTCAGCTTTGGAAATGTTCTTGTCCTAGGAAAACAAGACATGGACACAGCTGAATAAAATATACACCAGTGTCATAAATGCTACATACTCCACCTCTTGCTCCCTGCACCATTACTTATACTGTGACAATAAATAACAGTCTCTGAAAGAGTTTTTTTTAAACCTGGTATTTTTATTCTTTGATTCCTTAAGTGCATTCTTGTATATCCTGTGTGCTGAGCACATGTGCATGAGGGGGTTAGGTGAGCCCTTTTATAACCAGCCTCCCTCAAGCTACTTCCTCTGGGGCTGCCTTGCTCAAAGGCTTGTGGTCAGGACATTGGCTGTCCATTAAAGCCCCGTTGGCTCAGGCTGGGGATGTGACCCAGTGGTATAGAGCTTGCCTAGCACGCACGAGGCCCTGGGCTCCATCCCCAGCACTTATAAATAAACAAACAAATAATGTTTTAATGAATAAAAGCCTCTTTAACTCAAGGCACAATTTACCTTTACAACAATGTCTCAGAACTGCTGTATATCTAGTCTTTGTGTCCATTTTCCCCACACCTCCCTCTTTGGGTCTGTTTGTGTGATTATTCTCCTGAGTATCTTTATATTAGTCAGGACAAGCTAGAGTACATTGTAATAACAAACAATCCCCAAATGCATAGCAGAGTGGTTACTGACTTATTTAGTTATTTATGTATTTATTTATTTTAAGACAAGGATTCACTATGCAGCCCAGGCTGGGCTGGAACTCACTATGTAGCTCATGCTGACCTCAAACCCATGAGCCTCTTGCCTCCATCTCCTGAGTGCTGGCTTGAGCCACCATGCCTGGCTTAAGTGGCCACTTTTGATTAAATAGTCAGAGAAGGCTTCTCTGAGGATATTTAAGGCTGAGGTCCAATTGGTAAAGGGAATAAGGTGTCCTGGGAGCAGAAAGAAGGTGCACGTGGTGGAGACCTGGGAACTTGGGGAACATAGAAGTAGTGTTCAGAGAAACAGGTCCAGCATAGGGGTCTGAGCACAGCAATTACTCCCACTCAGGCAACTTGCAGGCAGTTGGATACTCCTTTCCCATTTGTTTCTGGAATTCCTTTTTTATTCCAGACTAAGTAAAAACTTGCTCAAGTTGACTTTTGCATGCAGCAGGATGACATTCGTTGATCTGCTGTAGTTCTTGGTGGACACTGGCCTGTTTGGCCTTACAACCCCAGTAGCCCTCATCACTGCAACTGTGGGTCCTGAGCTCCTTTGCTGGCTTACCTACTCCATCGTGCTGAATTCAGGCCTGTGTTAGTTGCTGATCTCTGGTCGGTGGCTGTAGACTCTGTGTGGCCCACAGGCCAGCAGCATCTTGTTGCCAGGAGCCTGAGGTTCCACCAGACCACTGAACAGACCCCCAGGCAGCCTGTGCACAGGGAAGTCTGGAAAGTTGCTCAGATAAAGGTGCTGATTCAACTGCTTCTGAACTCAGGGCCTCACTTGAGCCACATCCCCAGTCCTTTTGCTTTTAGTGTGTTTTTCAGATAGGGTCTTTCACTTTTTCCCAGGCTGGTCTTGGACTGTGATCCTCTGACCTCTGTTTCCCAAGTAGCTGGGGTTACAAATTTGTGCCACCATGCCCAGTTCCACATTGTTTTTAAGATAGAGTATGCTAACTTTTATCTGGGCTGGCTTCAAATCTTCTGTCCCTGTCTCCCAACCTGGAATTACAGGCATAAGCCACCATACCTGGCATCAGTCCAGCTCCATTTGTGCATGAACAAATTTCCTTTTAAAAGAGGACTTGAGGCAGCTGCCTTAGGAATTGTGTCTCTGTAAAAGATGAAAACTTTATTGGGGTGGGGGTGGGGCAGAGGCATTAATTGTATGCTTAGAGATCCAGCCTGGAGCAAGCAGGTCCAGCCCTGGCACTCCCTGGAGGATGTATCACCCCCATCACTGTCTGGGCTCCATGGGTGGGTGGACTCAGCAGTCTTTTGGCAGTCTGTGAGCTGGGCTCACTGGCCTGCTGAGATGTGTGGTTAAACGTAAACCATGTGGGAATGTTCAGGACTGCAGCCAGCATCTTGAAGCTAACAGCCCTGGGCCAGAGACATATTTATAAGTACAAGCAAAGTATTTATTATTCTGTCCCTCTGAAACTAAGCAGACTTAGTGCAATATGGTTTTGAGGACCTTAACCAGGCTTAGTACTGTTAGAGTAAAAAGTGTACATACAGTATCTGTTATTGCAGCAAATATTTGAAGGACTCCAGTTAACCATTTTCCTAGCCATTTTAGGTATTGCACACGAGATTTTCTTCCTCCTGTCTCTGGCCCCCTCACCCTCACTTGCTGCTGGTTGTCCTGTCAATACACACACACACACACACATAGAGCCACCAAAATGAAGAATGCCTTGTGTGGTGGCACCCAAATTGCCTCAGGATGGTCACAGTTCTTATGTGTTTAAAATCAAGTTCCAAGCTCTCAGCCTGGCCTTTTAAATTTATTTATTTTTTTGTGGTGCTGGGGATTGAACTTGTTCATGTCAGGCAAGTACTCTACCACTGAGCCTATACCCCTAGCCTACTGGCCTTTTAAAGAAACCCTGAGAAGCCAGGTATATGCCTGCATTCTGCAGAAGCAAGAGGATCTTAAGTTCAAGGGAGTCTGCAAGACCCTGTGGGGGGGGGGGGAAGCTGGGGCTGTAGCTTAGAAGTAGAGCCTAGCATGTACCAGGTGCTGGATTGGATCCCCAGCACCATACACACACAAACACACACACACACACACACACAACACACACACACACACACACACACACCACACACACACACACACACACATACACACACACACACACCCAAATCAGTCAAATTCCATTGTGCTTTGGCTTTCATGGGCTAGGATGTCAGTAGTGCAGTTAGTTTCCTGGTATCAGGAAGCTTGCAGGTGGCCTGGAAATCTGCCATGCTTAAAGGCCCCAGGGAGAGTCCCAGGTGACCTAGAGAAATAATCCCCCACCTCTTTGCTGTGACCTCAGGCACAGACCTTCAGCACCTACAGACACCCTGGGACAAGCACCAGTAACCTTTGCCCTGGAGGAATTTATTTTTAATTTTTAAATTTTTATTAGTATGATTAATTGTACAAGGAGATTTCGCTGTGATTTCCACAGATGTGTACAATGTACTTAGATTAAGTTTGTAACCTCTATTATACTCTTAGCGTTCCTTACCTCTCTCCTCCTCTTCAAACAGCATTTAGTGGGTTTTATGTTTTGTTATACTATCTACAAATATGTATGTAAAATGCACTTGATAAAGTTCTCTTTATCAAGCACTTTCTCTTTTCCCCCTCACCACTGGATCACTCATGTCCCATTATTATTATTATTATTATTATTATTATTATTATTATAATTACTATCATTTGTCTAGATTCTACATATGAGCAAAAACATGTGCTATTTGGCATATTTTTGTTGTTATTGGCACTGGGGTTTGAACTCAGGGCCTACTTGCTAGGCAGGTGCCCTAACACTTGAGCCACTCTGTCAACTCAATATTTGGATTTTTGAGCTTGACTTACCTCGTTCAACCTGATGATCTTCAATTCCATCCATTTTCCTGCCAATGACATCATTTCATTCTTCGTTGCAGCTGAATTATAGAGGAATTTGGAGCCTGTGTTTTCTCCAGTCCTCATGGGTTGGGAACAGCAAAAAGACGCACCTTTTGTTCCAGAGCCATGTCTGCTGGCTGATGGCTCCTCTCTGGCCATGACATTTGCATTTGTAAAGTGGGGACAGGAATTACAACTGAAATGACTCTTCCATGTCATACAAGGAGATGAGTGAATGTGTTGAAGCACAAATACTATCAAGTAATTAGTGAGGATTATGATAGTATTCTTCAGTGAGCACTTACAATGGTCCAGTACTGTTTAAGTACCATGACTGAACTTTTTAATTGAAGGACTATAATTTGGTTAGGTAAGAATAATATTGTTAATTATTATTATTTCCAACATTTTTTAATGAAAAAATTGAAACAGTGCCTGTTCCATCTATCCATCACCTACACTTAACAGTGCTGGTTTTACTGTGTGGTGTTTCAATCCATCTGTCTATCTATCCCACCAAGGTTTTGGTGCATCTCAAAGTAAGTTGCAGATACCAGTTCACTTCTCCTAAGTACTAGAGCATTGCACGTGCTTAACCGGAGACTAGTATGTGTTTATTTACCTGCATGAAGTGCACAAATGTGCCTTTGCTGGGTTTTGACCAATACGTACACCTGTGTGTATAATACAATCCATCATTGCACCAGAAAGTTCTGTGGTCCTTCTCATTTAATCACCACTCCCTCCAAGCAACTGCTGATCTAACTTTTTTCTGAATATGTATTGTTTTTAATCCGGTCTTACAGATAAGAAGACAGACTCAGAGAGGTGGAATGGTTTGTCCAGGGACAAATGCTTGGTGTCAGGGGGAGCCATGGCTTAGTGCTACGTCAGTAAGATCAGAGCCATGAACCCACATCACATGTTATGGAATCATCACATGAATGGGTCACCTCAGCAGGCAGTGCTGGGATTGATGGATTCTGGGGTAGAGCCCTTCAAAATGGGCCACATCCGCATCTTCTGGGATTTAGCTCATTAGGGATGGTCACTAATGTGTGTCCTTCCTCAGGTGCTCAGGGCCTCTCACTCCTGGGTCTGCTAAACATTTCT